ACTTTAATGCTAATTGGATTGTTCGCCAAATTGTCCCGTTTTCTTTCTCGATTTGACCATTTCCCCTAGGATTGTAAGGGGTAGAACGACTTGATGCAATTCCTCGTAAAGACAGAAATTCCTTAAACTTTTGAGACATAAATGAACTTCCTTGGTCAGTATGAATGTAGTCTGGATAACCAAAAATTGAAAATATATATGATAAATGTTTTATAACATTTTCTGAAGAACAATCAGAACAAGGAAATGCAAAAGGGAATCTAGAATACTCATCAATTGCAGTTAATAAATATTTGTTAGGTGTTGAGGAAGGTAAAGGGCCTTTAAAGTCAAGGGAAATTCTTTCAAAGGGAGAGGAAGCTTTAATAAGAAAATTTTTATGTTTATAAAAACGAGGTTTTATTTCTGCGCAAATTCTGCATTCAGACGTCATCTTTTTGATTTCTTCTATTGAGTACGGTAAGTTTTTAGATCTGACCCAATGCACCATTCGAGTTACTCCTGGGTGACAAAGACTCTCATGTAATTTATAAAGTTTTAGTGCTAATCCAGAACTGGCACATACTCTACTTAACGTATCACATATTGTATTTTCTGATCCTGGGCGGTAAACAATGTCAAATTTGTAGTTTGATAATTCCAAACGCCAACGTTGAATTTTCTCGCTTTTTATTTTCCCATTATGACGGCTGTTAAACATAAAAGAAACAGACTTTTGATCGGTGATCAGACGAAATGGTCTGCCAATAAGATAATGCCTCCATTTCTTGAGAGATTCAACAATTGCATATGCCTCTTTTTCTACAGCAGCATGTCTTTTCTCACTATCTGACAACGTACGCGAGAAGAAAGCAACAGGTCTACCTGTTTGTGATAAAGTTGCAGCAATTGTATGATCTGATGCGTCTGTTTCAACTGTGAATGGCATTTTATCATCTATAGCATTTACCATCGATTTCATAATTTCATTCTTTAAGTTTTCAAATGCCAATTTTTCTTCGAACTTCATTGGAAAACCGGAACATTGAACTAATGGCCGAACTTTTTCAGAAAATTTTAAAATCCATTTAGAATAATGTGAGAACATTCCTAAAGCTCGTTTTAATGATGCGCTGTTTTCTGGTATGGGAAATTCTATGAGAGGTTTTAAACGGTCAGGATCTGGTTTAATAGTTTTGTTTTCTATGCTATATCCTAATAATTTAATTGATTTCTGCGAAAATTTTGACTTATCCTCATTTATTGTTAAGTTGTATTTTCTAGCAGCGTCTAAAAATGTTTTTAAATTTTTATCATGATCTTCCTGATCTTTACCACATATAGTTATATCATCTAAATAAGCAAAAGTGCCCTGCAACTTTTCTTGTCTAATAATTGTATCTATTACCCTTTGAAAACTAGCAACTCCATTGGTAACACCAAATGGAATTCTTGTGCACTGATATAGATTGCCACAGGCTTCAAAGGCAGTGAATGGTCTTTCCTTTTCTAAAATTGGGATTTGATGATATGCACTCTTAAGGTCAATAGTACTAAAATATTTGTACGTAGAGACTTTCGAAACGATATCTTCAATGTTCGGTACCGGATATGCGTCTAGCTCAGTATATCTATTTATCGTTTGGGCATAGTTAATAACTAATCTCTTCTTGTGATTTTCATTTGAGACTATCAAAACTTGAGCACGCCATGGAGACCTGCTTGGCTCAATTATCCCTTCTGCAAGTAGCTTTGATATTTCTGTCTCGATAAACTTTATTTCTTCCATCGGGAATCGTCTAGATTTAATTGCAATCGGATGACAGTCACTTGTTAAATTTGTAAAAATAGAAACTGGTGGTATGGTAGCTCGAGCAAGGCTGCACACTTTCAGGGGCGTCTTTAAACCACCGAAATTAATTTCAAGTTTAGAATGGTCTTTTAGAATGTCGTGGCCAAGAATGAGATCTGAGCATAAATTTTTCATAATTAATAACTTAACGTTTTCGTATTTGTGATCACATATTTTTAGAGACACAATGCAACTTTCTTCTATTTTAGTTACAAGACTTGATGAAGCCATATTTATTTCCTCATTACATTGCATTGGCGTAATTTTGCAATCGTTAACGATAGATTTATTTATAAAACTTAAACTACTTCCAGTATCGACCAGTCCTGTAACTTTTACCCCGTTTACATATACTGGCAATAATGTTTTTTCAAGGCAATTAGGATGCATAGAAGAGAGCACACAACCAAAAATGTCACTCGTAGAATTTACCGCAGCCGTTACATACTTTCCTTTGCTACTCTTGCAGACTTTAGCAAAATGGCCCCGCTTTTGACACAACCTGCAGTTTACGTCCGAAGCTGGACATTCGTATCGAGGATGAATTTTATTTCCACAGAAGTAACATTTTCGGAAATTAGATTTAGAGGCGACTTTCGAAGAAGCAGTAATGCAGCTAGGATTATTCTCTGGACTTAGATTTACGATATCACTCGATTCGATTTTCGACATAGTAGGAGTTGAAGTTAAAGCACTTGTAAAATTAGTGTTTGTTACAAATTGTTCGGAATGTTTCTGAGCCATTTCTAGAGATTGGGCTTGATTATACGCTTCATCTAGAGTAAGATTAGAGTTTTCTAAAAGGCGTTGACGAATAGGAGCTGAAGAAAGACCTGAAATGAAGGCGTCTCTTATATACTCATTTTTATTCTGTTCTGCTGTAACAGCTTTGAAATCACAATCCTTTGCGAGTTGATGTAATGATTGTAAATACATATCCACATTTTCACTGGTCTCCTGTTGTCGAGTAGCAAGGCAGTGTCTGGCAAACAGGATATTCTTACGTTTTACATAAGTATTCTCTAGGACTCTTATAGCTGTCCTGTAGTCATTAATTTCACTAATCACTGAGAACACCTGAGGGGATACATAATTGGTTAACAGTTTCAGCTTTACAGAATCAGGGCAATCTTCTTTGTGAGCTTCGATGAAATTCTCGAATGTTTGAATCCAATGTAACCATTCGGCTCCAGAGGTTTTGGAAGATGGATCAATTTCAAAACGCTCGGGTTTTAGGTACTTCTCCATAATCCAAATGACCTGTTATTTATTTTTTTGCTGAATAAATTGTAATAAGGGAATAGAGAACGACCAAAACTTGGCTTTATTCAGCAAATAACTGGACTTATAAAAATGACATATTAATCAGATTATAACATTAACGAATAAACAATCTCCTATGCGATGCAAGAGTATACACTGCACAACTCGTATACAGTGTGTACATGTAATGCTCATTACAGCTTTCAGATGACAATACACTTATTTGCAACTGCGAAATCAATGTCAGGGAAAACACCGGGTAGCACGTAAAAATTCACATCTTCTTGAATTCGTTCATTGCGCTAAGTGGTGTGCAGGCTTGCATGTAAGGCTCGTTGAAGATTTGTGAGATTTAGAAAACGGTCACAACCCTTTTGGGGTAAGCCACTTTTCCAATGGTAGTGATTGAGAGGATACATGAAACTCACGTCTAAAGCTGCAGTTTGTGGGTGATCACAAAATGATTTCTGGCTTTGTCGGTGACACTCAAGTTTTTGTGTGCGGAAGGTGACCATCAAAAATCAGAAGTGCAGGATCCTTTTGTGAAGGCTTAATAAAGGAATATCTTTATATGGCTCGAGCAGAGTAGACGTATTGCTACGGTGCTGCGATTTAAATAAGTAAAATTGTTGGAAAACGTGCGAATTTAAATATTGTTTTTATACCATTAAAAGTATTAGTGAATTCTGGTCGATTGCAGAAAATACAAAATCTGTAAGTACACTAGAACTACAGAATAACCACTATTACAGAAATGAAGGCTTGCGTCGGCACGTTTGATGTCGGGGTGGCCAAAATTTAAAGTGACACTCGCTGACAGTTGACGTTCTTGCCGGTTGTTACACTGGTAAAAATTACCAAGATTCTTATAAATTCGGATAATACACTGAGAAATGGATTTAAATATATGTAACAAACTTATTTAGCAACATCCACTATTTCTTCTCTGAATTGAAGGTTAGTGATATAATTAGAAAAAATAAGGCTTCACAATAATTTATTTTGAAGTAAATTGTACTGATCGCTATACTAAAAAAGAGTTTTTACTTGAGGAACCAGACCGAATGCTCGTTGTACTTAATTCATCAGTTTTTTTTAGATAACATTAACTCTTTAACAGAGGGATTCTATTACAAATTATTGATGTATTAATTAATTGTATAATTTCCTGAAAACCACCTTCAACTATGATAGTTGGATCTAGAAAAATAGATTAAACTGATAATAACTGGCATTAAAAATGCAAATACTTCCGAACTGTCATTTTGAAAGCCTTTTATGTGTTTTAGAACCTTATCATATGTCAATAATACCATAAACAATCCTTGTATTAAGACTTTCGCCATACTCTTATAATAATTTGACAACTCTGTGGATAAATCTGTGATTTTTTACACCATTTTTGTAAACAAAATTAATCTAGTAGTCGTTGGTAGAAAAGCATCACCAATAATTGGCGTATCGATTTATTACACTGTTTTACACTAGCACTAGCTCAAATGGCTTTTCTTTCGAGTCTTTTGTGCAGAGTTGTCCAGTAATTGCAACACTTCATTAACGTGGGAGTGGAGTCGACCCTCATGTTTTGCAGTAACCTCTTTTTCTTATTTGTCTGTATGAAGATAATCGTTTAGATAGAGCCAGGGTGCATCAATGATACATCTTAGGACTTTATTTTGGAAAACTTATATTATGGCACATCCTCGTAGCTGTATTTCATAAATCCAGACGACTTAGGATTTGTTTATAAATCATATGAATTTGTTGTATACATAAATTTGCATTTTTAGATGCATAATTATTAGAACTATGAATTAAATTGAGATTTGAAGAAAAGTACCTAATCCGATTGGGCTAAAGTATTCTGTGCTAGAACTTTGTATTATTGCAGTTTGGTTTTTTCATAATGGATACTAGAGGTAGAAAGAATTCGACTAAGGGGGACGAAGAAGAACTGCACGCATTAGTTAAATCTTTAGTTACAACATTATGTACATCGGAAGATTTTATTGGTAAAATAGCGGAAAACAATAACAGATAATATAACTAAAAAATTTAAAGAAGATATTGAGAAGTTAAAACACGAGAACGTGCAAATTAATAAAAAAGTGGAAGAACAGGATGAAATAATAAAAAGCCTGTTAAAAAAACAAGAAAAACAAGATGAAGCTAATAGAAGTCGTAATGTTTTATTTCATGGATTAAATGAGAATGTTGGAGAAAATTGCAGACTCTTGATGATGAACATATTCAGTGACACAATGAAGTTAAAGGTAGATGAAAATTATATTGAATCATCTTTTAGAGTAGGAAAAAAACTTAGCAATAAGAATAGGCCAATATTAGTAAGATTTTAAACAATTTATTATAAGAATATTATTTATGATAACAAGAAATTATTTAAAAACACTAAAATTGTTGCTCGAGAGGATCTAACACCAGCCAAACTTACAATGTTAAAAGCAGCTTTGGAAAAAGTCGGTAAAAATGGAAAAGTATGGACAAATCATGGTAACGTGTTCCTGAAATATTTTAATGCCGATCAAGTTAAGAAAGTTGTTGCGATGGGCGATCTTAAAGAAATAATGTAATTATTAATTATTTCTTTGTTTATTACTGAGAGTGAAGTAATTAATTTAAATATTAAATATAGCTTTTGTTAATTTTTTTCTCTTAATTTTAAATATACAAATATTTACTAGTATAAATTTGGCATGTTAACTAAAGATAATATAATTTTGCAGCACCAGCAACTTGCGTGCAATTGATACACTCCTTGGTGTATCGTTTTTATTATATAGATAAATCAAATAAAAAAAATCTGATGTGTCCAACACATGACTTTCCTATCTAGTTAACCTATTGCAGCATCTCTAAAAATGTTTAGAGAATAAACTAAATATATACATTTTCCACATACATCTACCTCGAAACATTTTTCTATAGATATTCATTGAAAACGAAAATACTGAAAAATTTTAATTTAGCACTTTTCCTCTAATTTTTCCATTACGGTCCATTTTAGAAAAGTCATTTAAAAACAAAAATTATAGAGATCGATATCGCAAACAACTTTTAGATTAACAATTTTCTTAAAAATCAGAATTTTGCACATTTTGTCAAATTTCTCGAATACGGACCATTTCAGGAAAATTTGACAGAACAAAAATTATAGATAATAATATTGTAAGTAACTTTTATTTAAAGAATTTTCTTCCCCAAACGTAAATAACGAATATATTCCATAAAATATAAAAATAACCACCAATAAAGTACCCCCCAAATGTTCCGACTCTGTCCAAAATCTAATCAGTTCACCTCAGGTCGAAATAAAACTTAAGTTTAAAATTTAATGTTTTTTCCTTTATCCGTTTTTGAGTTTTCTTCAAAATTCGAAATTTACACATTTTCTCAAATATCTCGAATACGGTCCATTTTAGAGAAATTATTTATAGGATAAAAATTATAGAGAATTATATTACAAACAACTTTTATTTGAACAATTTTTATAAAAAATTATTTTTTTTACATTTTGTCAAATTTCTCGAATACGGACCATTTTAGGAAAATTTTGCATACAACAAAAATTATAGATAATTATATAAGAAGTAACTTTTATTTAAAGAATTTTCTTCTCCAAACGTAAATAACAGATATATTCCATAAAATATAAAAATGACCACCTATAAAGTACCCCCCCAGATGTTCCGACTCTGCCCAAATCAGCTCATTGGACGCTGAAACAAAGCTTAAGTTTCAAATTTGGTGTTTTTCTGTGTATCGGTTCATGAGTTATGCGACCTACAGACACACACACACACACACACACACACACACACACACACACACACACACACACACACACACACACACACACACACACACACACACACACACACACACACACACACACACACACACACACACACACACACACACACACACACACACACACACACACACACACACACACACACACACACACACACACACACACACACACACACACACACACACACACACACACACACACACACACACACACACACACACACACACACACACACACACACACACACACACACACACACACACACACACACACACACACACACACACACACACACACACACACACACACACACACACACACACACACACACACACACACACACACACACACACACACACACACACACACACACACACACACACACACACACACACACACACACACACACACACACACACACACACACACACACACACACACACACACACACACACACACACACACACACACACACACACACACACACACACACACACACACACACACACACACACACACACACACACACACACACACACACACACACACACACACACACACACACACACACACACACACACACACACACACACACACACACACACACACACACACACACACACACACACACACACACACACACACACACACACACACACACACACACACACACACACACACACACACACACACACACACACACACACACACACACACACACACACACACACACACACACACACACACACACACACACACACACACACACACACACACACACACACACACACACACACACACACACACACACACACACACACACACACACACACACACACACACACACACGCGCGAAAATAGTCGAAACGGATTCAGGGGACCTCAAAACGTAAAAATCCGTCGAAAACTCGAGGTCGAAAAAAATCATGATTCCTATACTTTCCTTATATCTGTATACAGATAGGAAAGTAATACGTGTAATTTTTGTAAAATTTTAAATTACTTTAGTTTTATTACTTTATAACTGGGAAATAAAGTATCTTTATCATTAATGTAAAGATTTGAAAATGCATTTGTTAAAAGTAGGTTGTGCCAATGCTAGATCATTATTGCCCTCTATACACGATTTGAAGCAAATTATATTACAAAATGAATTTGACATATTTTTAATATGTGTGTGTGTGTGTGAAGCAATCCATTAATAATTCAGTTTTAAATATTAACAATTATCGCCTATTTAGGGCAGGCAGAAACTGTAATGGTAAAGGGTTGTGCATTTTTGTTAGGAGTACAATACGTAGTGAGATAATTATTACTAGGCAAGATTATAATTGGGGAAAACTGTGGATTAAAGTAACGTTAAATAAAAAATCATTTGCGATAGGTGTTATTTATAAACCTCATGATCAAAATACAAGCGTTTTTCTAGACGAGTTTGAAGATAGTCTTGTTTCTATTTACGCCACTGATGTTGATATTATTTGTATGGGGGATTTTAATTTAAATTTATTGGACTTTGAAAATATAAATGTAAAAAAATTTAAATCTGTTTTAGAATCACTTAATTTGTGTCAAATAATTGATGAACCTACTAGAATTACCGCAACATCTGCTACTCTTTTAGATTATTTAATTGTTCCCGAGGGTTTCCAGTGTGATAAGGGTGTGATTGACAAAATAATTTCGGACCATTCAATGATATATTGCACGTTTAAAACAGATAAGAAAATAGGCCCAAAATTTATTACTTATAAAAATTTTAAAAATTTTAATGAAGTAAATTTCCAACGTGGTCTCTTTAATTCGTCATTTTTTAGAATATATGATCAGGAATCAATAGACGACAAAGTTTCATATTTAGTGAACTGTCTTAATAATTTGTTCGATAGACATGCACCACTTGTCACTTCAAGAGTTACAAAGCCAAAAGCGCCTTGGTTAACTTTTCCAATTAAAATGATGATGGCTGAAAGAGACAAGGCTCTTAATAAGTACAAGCGAACTAAATCGCAAGGTGATTTTCAAACCTATAAAACTTTACGGAATTTTACATTTCAGTCTATCAAAAGAGAAAAAAGAGCTTATTTTATGCATCAATTTAATAATAATACTCCAAGAGAAATGTGGCAGACTCTTAGATCTAATAAATTTTTACCTGATAAAAAGTTTGATATTCCAGACAATCTTTGTAACTCAAATGAATTAAATAGGTTTTTATTGAGTCCATTCCACAGACGGAACCATCTGAAGATATTAAAAATTTCTATAAATCTAATAAACTAGTTGATTCTAATTTAATTTTTCATGAAGTTAATGACCACATATAATACCATACATTACCCACATAATAAATTTTTGTATAACTGAATGTGTCATTCCGACTGCGCAGAGGAAAGCTATTGTAAAAGTTTTACCAAAAAAAACAGACCCAAATAAGTTATTGCAACGCGCTTACTATAATATTAAGATGATTTATGGGAATCGTCATTTATTTCCTATTCACATTAAAAAAACAGCTCTGTGATACACTCGTACTATCCTTATTTAATTATGCAGATGTATTGTATGGGCCCAATTTAACTCTTAATTACAAAAATAAAGTGCAAAGAGTGCAAAATTCTTGTTTACGTATGATTTTTGGTATACGAAGACATCAAAGAATATCTCATAAATTAAAAGAAATACGTTGGTTAAATATGGAGAACAGAAGAAAGCATCACTTTCTCACTTTATGTCATAAGCTACTTGTGAACAAGAAGCCCTCTTACCTACATCGCAAAATTATGAACAAGAAGCCCTCTTACCTACATCGCAAAATTAGCTACCGTTCAGATGTCCATAATATAAATGTAAGGAACAGAGGATTACTGACTGTTTCCTTTTTTACGACGGAACTTTTCAGACGATCATTTAGTTACCTCATCTCTTACTTTTATAATAAAATATTACCAGAATTCAAGAATTATAGTATTTTTAAATTTAAGACAGCCCTTAAAATACACATTTTTGAAAATCAAATTTAAGTAACAATTTTCCTCACTGCATACATATTGTTGTTTATTGTATCGCTACGTATTTGTACTTCCCTCTTTCATTGGTCGTTGTTTTTGATATTTTTTTTGCCCTACTTAGTTATGTTTTTTTTTTTCATTGGATTCAGCCTTCCTGAGACAAGTGCATTTTCATTTGTTTGTTAAATGTTAAAATTACAGTTGTTTATTTATTTGATATAGTTATATGGTATATATATTTTGTCTTTGATTATTTATTTCTGCTCTATTGCTCTATGGTTATATGCAGGTTTACTCGCGGGTTAAGTGGAAGAATATTTTTTGTTGTGTCTAGTGCACAACCAAAAATAAACTTCGCCCGTGTATATATGTATTATTTTATTGTATTTACTTTAAATTATTGGAAATAAAGACGATTAGCACGAGCTGCTGATGTTGAGTCAGATGATCTTAATGAAAGTTGAGGGTGTCTCTTGCAAAAATCGGTCAACCAATCTTTGTCACCTAGACAAGTTTCCTTGAAAAAGGGATTATCAATATTATTTTTGTTTGCAAGCTGATCAGCAATAGATCTCACATCTTTAGTGGTGAGACCGTACATTCTGTTTTCCATGTCAAATATATGTGCAACCAATTCCTTTCCTGTTTCTTAGTGAAAACCAGTCTTTTGCTTCCCAGTTTTTTAACAGCATTAACAGCTAACTTGTTCGTTTCTTTACAGCGTCTCTTTAAACTCATCAGCGG